CTCTTTAAAAAAACCCAAAGAAGGAGACTCCACTATCCTCTGAGGCAGTGTGTTTCACTGTTGAACAGCTCTTACAACCAGGAAGTTCTTGATGTTGAGGTGGAATTTCTTTTCCTGTAGTTTGAATCCATTGCACCAGCTCTCTGGAACTGCAGCAAACAAGCTTGCTCCATCCTGAAGTTTTCCCAGCTAAATGAGATTATGGGCTGCAAGGATAGTTCATAGATTGATTTTATACATAAAAATCTGAATTATATAAAATTGGCTCAATGGATTTACAGCCACTAAAAAAATTGAGAATGCCCTCAAAGAATCATTTTTTTGTTATATTATGCTAAGACTAAGATGGTAGCCAAGGGGAAACAGTTCATTTATTTGTGCTTGCATTTTTACAGTATAACAACAGTGAAGCACAAAACAGAAGGAGATATTATTTTGAAATTCACTGCTTTTCAGCATCATCTCCTCTCTCTGATTAGTTTGAAGCTAACCCAGAGTCAGATTTGAGTCCCAAATATGTGCAGGATAATTTGGCATGAGCTACAGATAATTCACATACCAGTAATCATGGTGGCCAAGACTAGACAAAGTGCTGATTGTGTCACAGATCATGAACTACTCATTTCAAAAATAAAAGTAAAACTCAAGAAGAGAACAAAACCAGCCATACCAAAATATGATTTAAATAACATTTCCACAGAATTCATTGACAATATAAGGAACAGATTTGCAGTAATAAGAATAATAGATTGTGAACAGGAAGAGCTTTGGTCTGAAGCCAGGGAAATAATAAAAGAAGAATGCATAAAGACACTTCCAACAGACAAAAGGAAAGTGAAGAAACCATGGATGTCAGATAAAATGTTACAAGCAATAAAGGAAATAAGAGAAACAAAACAAAAAGGAGATAGGAATAAACTAAGAACCATGAATGCAACAGTACAAAGGCTAGTGCGCAAAGATAAGGAAAAACACTACAATGACAAATGTAGAGAAATAGAAGACAACAACAAACAGGGAAGAATGAGAAACCTATTCCACAAAATTCGAGAAATCAAGGGAGAGTTCAAACCAAGAACCAGTACACTCTATGACAATAAAAATAACGTAGTTGAAGACCAGGGAGGAATAAAAAGATGATGGATGCAATGCACAGAAGAGTTATATAAAAGAGATGACAACATGAAGGACAGATGGAGTGAAGAGCCATATGAAGATGAACTCCAAATTCTAAAAACCGAGGTGGGAGCTGCAATAAAGGAAATGGCAAAAAACAAGACTCCAGGAGCAAATGATACTCCAATAGAACTGTTGCAATCCACATTGACAAAATCAACTCTAGTGCTAACCAACATATGTCAGCAGATATAGAAAACAAAACAATGGCCCAGTAGATTGGAAGCGATCAATATACATCCTCATCCACAAAAAAGGAGACACAAGAGACTGCAGCAACTATAGAACAATAGCACTACAAGCAAAATCATGCTCAGAATTCTGCAACATAAGCTTCAACCATACATGGAGAGAGAAATCCCAGAGGTCCAAAAAGGGTTCAGGAAAGGAAGAGGCACATTGCAAATATATGCTGGCTAATGGAGAGTAGCAGGGAGTTCCAAAAGAAAATCAGCATATGTTTTATAGACTACAGCAAAGCCTTTGACTGCATAAACCAGGGGTAGGCAACCTTTCATCTTTAAGGGCCGAGGTACTTCACCTCCCAGAATCCCAGGAGCTATTTGCCAACATGACTGAGGCTTCTGGGAGCTGAAGTCCCTAGGCCCTTAAAGGGGAAACGTTGCCTACCCCTGGCATAGACCATGAAAGGCTATGGAACACCCTTAAAGACACGGGAGTGCCAACGCATCTAGTAGTCCTGATGAGGAATCTGTACTCAGGACAAGAGGCTACTGTCAGGAAAGAACAGGGGACAACAGAATAATTCCCAATTGGTAAAGAAGTCAGGCAAGGCTGCATCCTATCACCATATCAATTCAATTTATATGCAGAACATATTATAAGGAAAGCAGACTTGGACATGGAAGAGGGAGGAGTGAAAATAGGAGGAAGAAATATCAACAATCTGAGATATGCTGATGACACCATAATACTAGCAGAAAACCTCACAGACCTGGAACAGCTACTAAGGAATATCAAAGAAGAAAGTGCAAAGGCAGGCTTACTGTTGAACATAAAGAAAACAAAAATAATGACCACAGAGAACTTATACATACTCAAACTAGACAATGAGGAAACAGAAATAGTAAAAGAGTTCTCTAATCTGGGATCAAACATTGATCAGAATGGGGACTGCAGCCAGGAAATCAGAAGAAGATTAAGAATGGGGAGGGTGGCTATGAAAGAACTGGAAAATTTAGAACTAGATCCTAAAATGCAAAGATGTACTCAAGCTGCATTATTTCTGGCAGTCTGTAAAGGCCCTTAGACTGTCATACTTTGGACACATCATGAAAAGGCATGAATCGCTGGAAAAGAAAATAATGTTAGAAAAGGTGGTTGGCAGTAGGAAGAGGGGAAGGCCACATGCTAGATGGATGGACTTTATTAAAGAGACCATGAATATGAGTTTGCAGGAGCTGGGTAGAGCAGTGGAGGATAAAGGGTCTTGGAGATGTCTCATCTATAGGGTTGCCATGGGTCGAAATCAATGTGAAGGCAATTAACAACAACAACAAATTGTGTCTATGAATCTTTTGCTTGCTCTTTGCTGAGTTAATTGATCCACAAAGAATGTAGCACCTAAGCTATCCTGTTCAGCTAGCTTCATTTCTCTGATGTGAAGCCTTGAAGCTGCTTGTGAGACTGCTTCATGAATGCAGGCAGTCCCTGGTACAGTGCCATTTCTGCCACCTGCTCTATCCACCAGCTGGAATTCATATTCATATTTCCAGTTTCCTCCTTGCCAGTGTTGCTTAAGCCAAACAAGGGTTATGAATGCAAACGTCATAGCTGAGTATGGACATTCAGAAGACTACTACAGCCTGTACAAATGTGAGAAATGTTCCTGGCTGAAAGCTACCCACAGCACTGTATGCTGATTAATATTAATCAGACTCTGCCTTTGTGTTACATGCAGTTTTACAGAGTCAGTTTGAACAAAGTAGGTCGGATTTCCTTTATTTGTTTACACTAAGTATGCCCCCACCATATTGGATCACTGCTTACAAGATGGCTTATAAAATTCCAAAGGCATTAAAAAAAATCACATATGTTGCATCTGCACTGCAAATATAATCCATTTTGACACCACTTTAACTGTTATGACTCAATGCTATGGAATTCTGGGATTTGTTGTTTGCTGTGGCAACAGAGCTCTTTGACACAGAAAGCTAAGTATCCTACAAAACTACAAATCCCATAGGTCCATAGTACTGACCCATGGAAGTTAAAGTGGTGTAAAACTGCATTACTCCTGCAGTGCAGATTAGACCCTAGTTATTAAAAGAAAAGAAAAAAAGATTGCAAAATGCCACAAATGTATGTCATAAAAATGCTACCAACTACCTACACAGTCTCTTCAGAAGGTAGCTGGTGGACATCGCTTGAATTATGTAAAGGGAAAAAAGACTTACACAGAATCTATGGTCTGCCATTCCAATACAGCATGAGCAAGTTTCTGTCTTGATGATACAAGCAGGCAGCTGATAGCAAAAGAGACCAAGGAGGCCAGTAAAGAGAGGGCTCCATTATGTCTAAAATCAGCTCCCATCTCAGCATGCTTTCATACATGGCTCTTCCCTCCTAGCACTCAGATGTGCCAACCAGTTGTGCAAATATTATTACTGTATTTGCTTTCCAGTGTCACCCATGGCAGGCCAGGTTCAGTTTGCTGTGGGATGAAATGAGGATTGTGACAGCAACCTCTTAATTGCTAAACTCACAAGACAAGGACTGAACATTTTTCACAAAAACAAGAGGCTGCATAAACCTTGCTCCATACCAGTTTCTCTGCTTTCCAGAGCAGCATTAGCTTGCTTTAGAAAAACAACAGGCCTCAAGTCAAGAATACTGCTTTGTTCTGGAGAAGCATCACATATGTGCCCTGCCTCCACTGCAAACAAGATAATCTCTTCTCCGATATCTCTCCCAGTGGTGCATTCCTCAACCAGAGTGCTTTAGATCTTGCTATCTGCTTCTAATGGAACACTTTTTTTTTATTCCTGACCTTAGCTATAGATCTCCTTCCCCCTTCCCCACTGCTTTCTTCTCAGCTGTATAGCTGAAATATACTGGTAGCACTCATCCAGTTAGGTTGCTATCCATATTATGCCCTATTGCCAGTGAGTGTTGGTTGGGGTACCTTTGCAGAAAATCATTTTTTTCCCAGGGAGGTGTCACCATAAGGTGAAATTTCTTATGTTTCTCCTGTTGTTAGTCCTTAGAAATATGATGCCACATTGCCACAAAGATGTACAGTTGAATGATTAATGGCTTCATAGATGACATATAGATATGCAGTTGAATGATTAATGGCATCATAGGCATTTGAACATAGAGAGGGGTGGACAGAAACAAGTAATGAAGCTTCTAGTCAGGTGGAAAAAAATTTTTTAATCAATACCCCCAAACACAGTTTTTTTCTCAAATCATTTTTTGCTACTAGGAGGAGAGAAGGTTATTAGGTTTCCTATCTTGCCAGAGAAGGATAGACAAATGTTAGTTCCACTTGATCGAGAATGCATGTGTACATCAAGGAATGTTGTTGTAATGGCAGCTGAGATCACAGTGCTCCTCCTGTTTTTGTTCTTTCTGCATTTTTTCTCTTTTCATTTGTGCTCAGCTTTCTGCATTCCATGGTGGCTGGTGTATTTAAGGAGCTTCCCAATGTGCTAAACTTATTTCACCGATAGCATTGCGCACCTTGGCTACTTCCTTTAAATTTTGGATTAAAACATGGGGCAGACTCACCTCCCCCATGACATGGAAGCCATCAGCTTCCATTTATACACTAATAACCCACTAATCTCAAATTAGTGAGAGGCAGTATGATGTAGTGGTTTGAATGTTGGACTAAGACTTTGGAGATCAAGGTTTGATTCCCTGCTCAGCCATGGAAACTCTCTGGGTGACCTTGGGTCAGTCATACTCTCAGCCCCAGAAAACCCCATGATAGGTTTGCTGTAGGGTTGCCATAAGTTGGAAATGATTTGAAGGCATACAACAGTAACAACAACAACATAAAACCCTATGACATTCATTGAGTTCCACAAGTTGATGGGGTACACATACACCACAATCTCAGATTTGGAGATTAACACATTCTCTAGAGTAGTATGCTGAAAGCAGACTCCAAACCAGAGATATTTACTATAATTTAAGTTCCGATATAGTCATAGAATTATCATTGTCCATTTTCACTTGAAGGAAGCATAGGTTCATATATCTGTAACCTTTTGGGAACATAGACAAATAATTTAGTTTCTAGTTTGTGGGAAAGTTTATCTTGTCAACACATCTAAAACACAGTTTCTGATTTTTGCCAAGTTCATCTGGTCAATGTGGAGCAGTGATTAGAGCTGGATTGCAATTTGGGAGGTCTACATTCAATTTTCCACAGAGTAATGAAATGCATTGGGTGATCTTGGGTCAGTTTGTCTCTCAGCCTGATCAACAGTGCAGTGTTGTTGTAAGAATAAAGTGGGGAGGAAAAGAGGCATATATTCTCATGCTGTGCTATATACTCTCATGCTATATATTCTCATGCTATGGAGAAAAACAAGATGTAAACATAACTCAGAAATAGCTATGCTTTACAATCTGTAGAATGAAAGCTATGAGTGCAGAGAGGTGAATGTGTCAATGAATTGATCAAACAATGTTCTTAATATGTTTCTTTTGATAGCAGGTAGTCATTTTGGCCATACTGTTGTGAATTATTTGCGGCTGATAGTACTGAAAAATTAACAAAGCAAACATCAACAACAACACCCAGAAGGCATTGATGATCTTCATATGTAGTGCACATTTTTTCATACATAGAGAATGTCAGCAATACTGGTTGGGTATTACATAATCTAATACAGGTTACTTCATGAATTTCTTTGGCCTTTTAAATACCTTGTTTAGTCTAGCTCAGATGGGACCCTGACCTATTAATAATTTAAAATAATGGAGGGGAAGCATGGGATTGTTTTAAAATATGCATAAAGTACTTAGCTTTATAGTAGGCAACGGCTGTACAAACCATTAAATACACTTTAATCTCATTGACAAGGTGTGTCTGAGTGCTAATTATGTTCCAAAATATATCCTAAAACTGTATTGCTGTACAATACATTTAGATTGCTTTTTTGTCTCACAGTAGGTTTTATATGTACAAAATGATGAGAAACTGAAAGTAGATTTACTGTTGTGGGCCAAAATGTAGGAAGCAAACACTTTTAAAAGCAAAAATTAGAAGGATTAGTTTTGCCACGCTGTGGGAGTCATAAGAGAAGCATGCAAGTAACCCAAGAGGATAGGGGTTGGCTGTAATTACCACAAATCTTTTGAAGATTGCCTCCCTAATTAGGCATTTAGGGTGGAACTAGTCATGCAGATAGCTGTATTTATTTTTTTTCCCTGTTGCTTATTTCTTCATAGCCTATCATATTCTGCCTAGGGTTTTTCCATCAGTTGTCCATATTGAATTAGCATTGCAATTTCGCATGCATGTTGGCACAGGCATACACCCCAGATGACATGGCCTGCAGCTGTTGATCAGTCTGCCCCGTGGTCTCCAAGTTGGATCCACAAAATATGTAAAAGTCTGTTTGTATCCTGAGTGGTTTGATAGCTGGCTCAGGCTCCCAAAATTTCCCTCTCTCCACCCATATTGTGATGCTTTCTTCCTTTCTCTCCCCCTCTCCCCACCTGCTACACTCAGTTAAAGGAAAGTATGTAGTATGAATAGAATAGCATGTCAGGTAAATTCTGTTTTGATGGAGAATAAAACTTGTGATTTGTCAGCAGTTGTAAAACAATCTTATTGATGGCTTCCAGGTTGGTTCACAAATGGTTAATATCCCACCTTGTTGTTGCATAGCAACCCCAGAGGGTTTTCTTTATTTATTTCCACTCTCATGAAAACTAACAATGAGGAAGTGAAGCAACCAGCTGGCATACCATTTGCCTTGCAAGTTTGCTTCTCTTATGAAATAGTCTAGAAACTGCATTTGTAGAGGTAAATAAAAATAGGACTTGAGCATATTTTTCCCTTGTATTTCAAGCAAAATGTTCGATTCAAAAGAAAATATTTTTTTTACAAAGAAAACTTGAATTGATGCACTTGACATCAGAAGGAATTCCCTGCTCTGTATTTTGTGCATTGTGTGTGTGTGTGTGTTGTACACCTTCAAGTCATTTCTGAATTATGACAACTCTTACGGTGAATTTATCGTTGGGGTTTTCTTGGCAAGATTTGTTCAGAAGAGGTTTGCCATTGCCTTCCCCCGAGGAAGTGTGTGACTTGCCCAGGGTCACCAGGAGGTTTCATGGTGTCTAAATCCTATGGTCAGTGCTTCTTCCTGATAAAAATAAATATAAAAACAAAAATTACAAAATTATAAAGCCTGCAGAAGAACATTTAAATAAAAATTATGACAATGGTTGAGTTAAAAATCTGTAAAATCTAGATGCTTGTGTCCCTGTTTGATAATATATGATATACATTTAATTTACTTCTTGTTTTCTTTTGGGTTTTCACTTTAGAAAATAGCTCAAGGCTGGAGGAGGTAGAGGTTAGGAGAAGGTTAGGCAGAAGCCCATATGGCTTTCCATCAAGAAACCGCGTCTGTGGTTTTGTACAATTTTGGCAGATGTCCTTGTCTACCGTATTAGAATCAGCAGGATTTCAGCTCCTATTCATGTATTCTTTAGTTTAAGAAATCAAAGTACAGCTCAGGGTGGTTGGAAACTGAAGATCAAACAGGAAAGCTGTCCTATGTATCTCTGATGTGAAAGCTCCAAGGATTTCACTTCACTTTTGGCTTTAAACTGCTACAGTTTATAGTGTATTCTTGTGAAAATGGAATTCCAATGATGCATAGTCTATTGCATAACATGTCATTTTTGTTTAAGACACAAATATAAAGGTCACTAGGGCTTTACAGGTCATAAACAGCACTTTGAATTCTGTCCAGTAACTGACCATTAGTTGTTGCAACAAGGGACTTATATGTCCCACGTTACCAGCACTAGTCAGCATTATAGCCAAAGCATTTAGACCCAGCAAAATTTCTCAATAGCTTCAAAAGACAGCCCCACATAGAATGTGCTACAGTTCTCATGTAATTGTAAATTAGATGTGTCACAACTAAGGTTGCCATAATTCTCTTCCACAAAACCAAGGAAAAAATGTAGGCAAAATGTAGGGCATTCAAGAAAAATAGAGGGCAAGACCAACTATAAGCCAAAACTGGGGGCCCTGGGCCTCCAGAAGGCCTGCTTGCTTGCCTGCCCTGGGAAAGGCGGCAGCACCAGCGGCCTCAAACACCCCCGTACCCCCAAGTAAGACCACCAGGCCTCCCCTGGGGGACCTCAGCCAAGCCTGCCCACCCGCACTACCTCAGCCAGGCATCCAACTCTTTCTGTGCCTCATCCATTATGGCACCTCTTCTTCCCGCCAACCAGGTCTGTCTGGAAATTGACAAAATGTGGCCTGGAACAAAGGAATCTAGGATTAGAGGGACTAAAATGCTCAGCCGGGCCAGGACATATTTTTAGACTCTCCAATCCGGGATTGTCCCACTTTTCCAGGATTTATGGCAACCCTAGTCACAACGCACAAATCTGACATGCCAAATAACATGCAAGGCTGGCATGCTAGTTTTAATTATGTACATGGCCACTACTGAAAGCTAAGCATCCTTGCTCAGAAATGACTCTAGAAACTCTCAACATAAGATGTCAGGAAGAGTTTAATCCCACCTTCCACAGTCTGAATCCCTGTTCTCCCTGTTCTGTGTTTCAATTGAACTGGATTAAGTGTGTCTGGATTAAGCTTCAGTTTGTTCACCCTATCCATTCCATTACTGACAATAGACAAATTCCAAAACAGCTAAAGAGAGAGAGGGTTGGGTGTCATCAGCATATTGATGGCAGCAAACTGCTAAATTTCAGGTATCTTCCCACAAGGCTTTCTTATGAATATGCTTATGGGGAACAAAACAGAGCCTGAGGGACCCCACAAGGATAGAATAGGGCTTGAGAGTCCTGTCCCAGAAAAATTGATTAGTCTCAAAAGCCACCGACAAATCTAGCAAAAGCATTGGGGACATACTCCCTCTCTTCATGGATTCCCTAAGGTTATCCACCAAAACAACCAAAAGCATCTCTATAACCATATTTGAAGCACATTTAAATTGTTCTACATCAGGATTTCTCAACATTTTTACCTTGAAGGCATCCTTGAAATAAGTTCCAAGTCTCAGGGTGCATCTACACTGTAGAGATGATGCAGTTTGAAACTGCATTAACTGGCATGGTTCCATCCTATAGAATTCTGGGATTGGTAGTTTTGTGAGGCACAAGTACTCTTTGGCAGAGAAGACTAAAATCCTTGTAAAACTACAAATCCCAGAATTCCATAGGATGGAGCTACAACACTTAAAGTGATGTCAAACTGCATTATTTCTACAGTGTAGATGTGCCCTCAGAAAACCACTGCATACATGTACAGCTCAAAAATTGCTTATTGTTTTCGTCATACTTATAATTCACCCTGAGATCTTTCTTTATATAGGGTGGGGTAGAACTTTTTCCACCATAGAACCCCTAGTGACCTCTCATGGAAGCCTAGGTTCATCCAGGAACAACTGGTAGGAGGCTGCTACACACTTAAGAACCTTGTTCAAAATATATATATATATTGGTGACTGTTATGGTGTGGTTCAGAAAATATGGTGGGTTTCAGGAAGGATTTGTTCAGGTATGTTTTTGTCTGTTTTAAGCAGGCAGAGCCCCTACCTTGCTACAATAAGGCATTTGCCACTTTCCTCTCTCACTAATCTAGTCCTCTTTTTAACACCATCATGAGCCAGGAAATGTACACATGGAATGACTCTATCTCTCA